CCATCCCCCCCCCCCCCCCCCCCCCCCCCCCTTGGAAGGTCAGTCTGAAAATGATGCCCTCTCCCCTCCCTCAAAAGATTGTATCATCCGTTGGGTACATGAAGCAGCGTAAATCACACCGACCGACCACACATGGAATAAGCTAAGCTACCACCGGACAAATGCATGCCATCCATCTACATCTCATCACATAGGCTCCCAGCCCACACGGACGAACATGTGCGGCTCGGCGGGTGGCTGACTGCAGGCTAGGATCAGTTAGCACCATAACACAGCAGAGCACAGGGCCTCTATCTATGTCTGGCTACGCTACGGACCTATCAACCCTACCGCGGTACTCTTACGTACTGCAGCCAGGCCAGGCAGTCGAGCAGACCAGTGGCGCCCGCCCCTTTTTTGTTATTTATATTTGTGTGTCGAGCCACGACTGGAATACCTCCCATTTGGCCGTGAAGGAGTCATCCCCCTCCGCTTCTGACGACCAGGCCGGGTATTGATCGTCCCCTGACCAGGTGATCTGGGTGGCGCCCCCTCGTGCCTTCATGGTCCAGAGCTCAGATGTCACGGAGGTGTCCGACTGGTCCTTTGGGATGGCACGAACGACGCCGAAGAGCACCCCGGAGATGAGCTCCTGCTCGTCACCCACCTCCGTCGCGGCAAAGAGCGAATTGTATCGGAGGTCGCAGCCCGTCCTGCACACAGAGAACACAGACAGCCAGCTAGGCAGACAAAGATGCATACGTTCTTGTTTGTCCATCCATCCATCCATTCTCATTGATGGGATGGCGGTTTCGTGCTCACTCACTTGATGAAGAGCTCATCTGCTCCCGTCTCCGCGTCCTGTGTCGTGTGTCAGGGCGGGATATAAACACACGGAGACACACACAGCAGTACACAGACCGAGATACATGACATGAATGACCCATTCATTATTCTGTGTTCTTGAGTGTGTACGAATGCTTCAAATGTCCAGCAGCCCTTCGCAAAGCCTGCAGGCTCGAATGTCACGGGATTCCGTCGACCTACACCATACAACAGCTTCTTCTGAGCTGCAACATAGCACAACAGAACCCAACACGCAGCATAAGCGAAGAGGCCGGCTCAACACGGAAGCACCTGGCTGAAGCGCTTGACGTCAGTCGGTCTGTCCGTCAGTCTGTCTGTCTGTCTGCGTGTCCTTACTTTCACTTCTGCTGAGTGTGGGAATGCCGTTAGCGATGAACGTGTCGTTTCTTGTCCATATCGACTCGAGAACAAATGAGTCCTGGTCCTCCGGGTCCCTTTTGAACTCGAACTTTTGAATCCCCAGAGGGGAGTCACCCAGCAGCACCGCTATCAGACTGCGGAATTGAGGATCCAGTAGCGACTGCACATCCACACGAGACACACCAGATTGACGGCCGATGGGCTGTCTCTTCTACGTGCTGTGCTGTGCTACTCTTAAGTGTGCGCACTGACTGCAACCGTACGTACGTACAGGTGGAAGGGCATCGCCGAGTAGTTGCGTGAGGAATGCAGCCAGCACCTCAAAGAAGGGTTCTGCACCTTCGGCCACCTTAATGCCCTCGTCAGTCAGGGCGTCATTCACCACGTACAGGTCCGTGCCGTCGGCTAACACGGACTGGTGAACACACACAAAGGCGACAAACAGACAGAGAGAGGTAGGCAGGTGAGACGTGGAGACATCCATCAGGTAGTATAGCTAGTCATTCACCTGGTCCGAGAAGGAAGAGAGCCCGTCTGGGAGACCCCCGAAGGTGACCTCCGCAAAAGCAGCAACCGAGCCATCATCCGCATGGTAGACCACCAATTTCTGTGGATCTGACCCATCCGTGATGACTGCAGGCAGACACATAGCGACCCGACCAGGTAGATAGGTAGACAGCTATGCAGGTAGGCAGTCATTTCCCTTACCGATGAAGAGTTCTCCGTCAAGATCGATAATTGTTGGGGAGCTGCCGCTGCCTATGGGAGTGATCCTGCCGATGGCCGGCTCGTCGACGCTCTCGTAAGCCGATGCCCATATCACCTCCAGGACCCCATCGGTGGGATCCGCCGACGCTGTGAACTGAATCCTGAACACCTTGTTGTCTTCACCATTGCCGGCAGCCGACGCCCCCGTCACGGCATAGATGTTGCCCAATTCATCCACTGATATCGAGTTCGTCACAGCTGTTCGTTCACATACAAAGTAGCGAATGTCCACACGTATCGTATCTGGCAGTGCAGCTCATGTGTCGGTCTGCCCGTCTGTCTCGTGGTTGACGGCCGGCTTACCCGGGAGCTCGCCGCCGTCTTCCTCTTGGTCCAATGCGACGACGTTGGACACCTCCGTAAACGTCTCTGTCTCCCTGTCAAAGCTGAGGACTCCCACCTGGGCCCTGAATGTGATGTAGGCCATCAACAGAGACGACGAGTCCGTGTCCCCGGCAGCAGGGTACAGTGGCACCACCGCATAAAATCGGTCGTCCTCTATGGTCGTATCCAGCCTGTCGGACCCGTCGAAGAGGAACTCGGCGGCCACTCTGATATCGGAGAGAAACTCGCCCTCCTCTGCGTCAGAGAGAGCGAAGATACGGCGGCCATTCGGATTGAAGTAGTAGTTATCGCTTGTGACGAACGAGTAGATGCCGTGAGGTGTGATGTCGATGTCGGAGTCCGGCTTCTTGAAACAGTCCACGATGCCCAGATCCGTCGTCGTCCGCGACACCTTGCAGATGTCCTACACACCCGCATACACACGACATGGTGATGGTCAATCAATGGTATCTTTGTGTTTCGTAGAATCAGTCAGTCCGTGAGTCAGTCATGCAGTAACTGACGGTGAATGAGGACGACCAGAAGCCATCGGAAGTGTCACCCCCCTTTCTGTCGGTATAGAGGAGGGACGTTGGGCCCAGGAGCACTATTGGGTCGAACAAAGACTGCCTTGCCACGTCTAGCACTGGACCAAAAGGCCCTGACTTGAAGTCGCCTCTGTCGATGCTTGGCAGGTCGGTGCTTGAGGGAGTCAGGCACACAGCACAGGCAGACACAGCTGGAACGTTGATCTTCCGTGCCTCTCACCTTTGATCAGAGTATGAGTTTTGTAGAGCGATTGGCCACGCTGTTGTGGCGGGCACCCCAAGCCACACCACAGACAGACGAACCCATCTTGTCTTGGGGTCCGTGAGTGTATGCGAGTGCTGATTGATTCACTCACCGAATTTCGCAAGATTGTCGTTTTGCGGCACCTCTTCGTTGATTTGTGAGCTGGCAAGGCCGCAGAGGGCCAGCAGAAGTACGATGGATGGACGCATTGGCTCTGGGCAGTAGGTCGAACTTGGTCAATCTGGTCGGTACGCTGCGTAAATTCTCTTGCCGCGAGATAAGCGTGCACGTCTCTCTTGCCGCTGGTGAGATTGCACGTCAACAAAGAAGTGTCTTGTGTAGTTCGAGTAGTGTCACGAACAAACAATGTCCCCCTGTCTGCCTTCCTCCCTCCCTCCCTCCCTGCTGTCACATGATGGATGACCCAATTCACGCACACACTAAGCTATCCAGATGTCTGTGGGCACGTGTCGACTAAGACACTAATGTCCGTCTGCCGTGGGACACAAACGATGCACCATCGGCTTGACCACAAGAATTATCAAACAACACTAACAAACACGTACACACCACCCACCCACCCACGTACATGTCATTCATTTACCCCATACTATGGGTGTGGAACGGAACACCACAGCACGGAATAACACGAACAACGACACGCATCACGTGACAGAAAAAAGGATACTAATGCCACTAGCTGATACTGCAGACTAATCACTTAAAGACAAAGAGGCAGACCAGTGTTTGTGTGTGTGCGTGTGTGTCCCCTTCTGCCACTCAGTGGTGGCTGTTGGAGCCTCCCCTAAAGCTGTGGTAGTCGTATATGCAGCACACGGGCTTTTTCTTGCCAGAATGGTCGGCGTCGATGAAGGTCAGCTTGCCCTTGGCACACTTGTAGGCCACCGTCGCGTAGAGGGGCTTGACGCACTTCTTGTCGGCCTCGAGCAGCTCGTAGCCATGAGGGCACTTGTACTTGTAGCTCAGCTTCTTGCTGGCGTAGCACTTGCTGCCGTCATCAGTCAGCTTATACCCATACTTGCACTCGTAGTCGACGTCATAGGTCTTCTTGGCCACACACTTGTGGTCCTCCAGGTAGCCGTGCTTGCAGTAATGCGCCTTAGCTTCGTATTCGGTCGTCTTGCATCCCTCAGGCGTGAACTTGAAGTGCTGAAGCAATGACACGCAGACACACAGATGAGTATGTGTGTGCGCGGAATCGTCCAGTGCCGTGTTGGCGATGTTCTCACTCGACTCACTCACCTCTGAGCAGTAGTACTCGAGGTCGGCATAGTCGTATTTGATGCACTTGTGCGTCTCGTCGTCGAACTCAAAGCCGTAGGGGCACTTGGTCTTCTTGTCTTGATACTTGTCCGCCCAGCACTTGCTGTAGTCGCTCGTGAGGGAGTAGCCGGATGGGCACTTGTAGTCGGGATCATAGTAGGCCTTCTTGACACACTTGCGGTCGTGCAGTGTGTATCCGGCCTTGCACTTGGGGTAGTAGAGGGGGTAGCTGTCGATGATCTTGAAGCACTTGTGGCCCTCGAGGTAGCCGTGCTTGCAGTAGGGCACCTTCTCCTCGTACGTCGTCGTCTTGCAGCCCTTCGGCGACTCATAAGAATGCTGCACACACACACACACACACACACACGGGAGAGGGAATGAAACACGCCCATCTGTCTGTGTGGCGTAGTGTGTTCACACACTCACACACTCACTCACCGCAAGGCAGTAGTACTCGAGGTCAGCATAGATGTACTTGAAGCACTTGTTCTTGTCGTCAGTCAGCTCGTAGCCGTAAGGGCACTTGTAGAGCTTGTGTTCATACTTGTCGGCGTAGCACTTGGCCCTGTCGGCTGTGAAGCCGTAGCCGTAAGGGCATTGGTACTCGACGGGGTAGTGCTCGTAATCGATGCACTTGTGGCCGTCGAGCTCGCCGTATTTGCAGTAGGGGGTTTTCTTCTCGTAGACGTACCTGACGCAGCCCTCGGCGGTCTTCTTGGTGCCCTGCACCCACAATCAAAGGATCAAATCAAGGAATCAATCGATCAGCATAACACACAAGTGTCGGGTTCTGCTTGCGTCTGCATACCTCAGGGCAGTAGTACTTGATGTCCTGGTAGTCGTATTTGACGCACTTGTGTGAGTCGGCGTCGAACTCATACCCGTAAGGGCACTCGTAGTGCACATCAGCCTTCTTCTCGCACACACCGTGTGTGTAGCCGTAACCGCCGTAACCGCTCTGGGCGGCAGTTGGAGGCACACATGCCAGCAGCAGCAAGGCCGAAGCACACAAGGCAAAGACGCCCATAGTGACAGCTGAGAACTGGCGGATGGCAGCCAAGCGGGGCGGCAACAAGACGAAGAGTGCAGGGAAGTCGCTGTACTGGCTGTGTGTGGGTCAGGAAGAAGCTGTGTAAGTGTTTGTTTGCTGTGGTTGATGTCGGGAGCGGAAGGGGGCGAGTGATGAGGGCTGTTGTGAGGCAGTGGCTCCACTGCGTCGCCATGTGGTCCTTGGCGCTGATCCTTCAGGCTGAAGGACGCACAGAGAGAGGGTAGAGATCTCCCATGCGAACTCCGCACCCATATAATCCCTTTTTTTCCTGTCAGAAAGCATTGTAGCAGTGCGTCAGTGCCTTTCTACCCATCCCAGGCCAGAAAAGGCAACGCGACGAAAGAATTTTGCCCGATCGAGTGAGGATCGAACTCGTCTTTTTCTCGCTTTTCGCGAATTCGTTTCCGGACTTTTTGGCGCGAATCCTTTGTCCGTGGCAGGGCACCCCACCTCGAGCGAAGAAAAAGAGCGGAGCACCCAGAAAGCATGGGACTGGGGGCTGTGGGGGCCCCCAGCCGAAGGCAACCAGCGGTCCTTCAAGATGTCGTGGAAGATCAAGAGGGCATCGGTAGGCCAGACATCCACATGAGCGTCTCATCTCCTCGCCGTGTCGTGTGCTCAGGAGTACTATGCGCGCCATGGCATCCAGGAGCTGCTCACCAACATGCTGGTGGAGCTGGGCCGCACCCTGCCGGAGGAACCCATCGATGCCATGGTGAGTCACGCCCACAGAACGCATGAGGGCCACTCGAACAGAATGAGCGACACGCACAGGTCACCTATCTCCACGAAGCCAAGGCCCAGCGTGAGGCACAGTCATCGGCAACTGCGGCCGAAAAGGTCTCAACAAGGGGACAAGAGATTCGACAACACCACTTGACTACCGTGTCTTCAGTTGACCCAGGGCATGAGTGGGCTAAATGGCGGCCGAGGGTCCAACACCGAGCTGTCACAGCGGGGATCCGACGCGGGAATCAACTATGACAGCCCTGGGGAGGCCTCACCAGTACATGAGCCTGCGGGGCCCACCTATACACGCAAAAGAAGAGGTGAACACAGTCAATCATTCACTGTTACCACGCCGTCTGGAGCTCGATGCCTGCCTGCCTGCCTGGCAGAGAACGTGTTTTCGGAGACCACAACAGACGAGGATCCTGACTGGAAGGCTCCAGTGTACGAAAAATCAGAAGAATCAAAGGATTCCATCCTGAAGGTCGCCACTGTAGGACAAGTGTACCTTGAAAAGGGGGCGGTCGACCATTTTCTTCTCTCTGTGGCATCAGAGTTTGAACAAGAACATCCTGTTTGCCGAATTGGAGCCCGAGGAGGAGAAAGTCCTGGTCGACGCCTTCTTCGAAATCACATACAACGAGGGAGACCTGATCATCAAACAAGGTGGCACCACAGCGCCACTGGCAAACCATCTTATGCCTAGTTGCTGCTGCTCGTGGACAGGCGATGAGGGCGATCAGTACTACATATTGGAGGATGGTGTGTGCGAGTGTTTCGTGCGCATCCCGGGCAAGGAGGCCGAGTACGAGAGCGAGCACGGCAAGTTGGTCTTCACCTACAACCCCGGCATGGCCTTTGGCGAGCTGGCTTTGATGTACAACGCCCCCCGTGCGGCCACCATCCAGGCCAAGACACCCGCCAAGGTCTGGGCCCTCGACCGCAAGACATTCAAGAAAGTCCTCCAGGTGTCGTCCCAGAAGGCTCGCGACGTGCAATTGGGCTTCGTGGATAAATTTGAAATGTTCAGTAAGCTTCGGGCCACAAGCCGGGGCCATAGTATGTATACCGAAGCACACACGTGCATTGCATCGATCGGTGAATTGCAGGCAGCCTGAGCCGTTTTGAGAAGCTGCGTCTGTTGGAGGCCCTCCGTGCTGAGCATTTCAGCGAGGGTGAGCGCATCATCCAGCAGGGGGACCCGGGGGACGCGTTCTACATGATCGAAGAGGTCACGCAGACACACAAGACATGACTGACACACAAAGATCAGACAGAGACACGGGTGGTTGATTGCATTGGCCTGCAGGGCGAGTGCATGTGTGTTGTGGAGGACGAGAACGGCAATGAGGTCGAATGCTTCAGAAGGCTGCAGGTAGGCAAGTCACGTTATCTGACTGGTGAGTGATGTGTCTCCGTCTAAATGATGGATGGGTGGATGCAGGGTGGTGATTTCTTCGGCGAGTTGGCTCTGTTGAGCAACAAGCCCCGGGCTGTCTCTGTGGACGCCGTGGTCGACACCAAAGTCTACACACTCGACGCAGAAGCATTCGGTCACACAGCAAAGCAACCTGAACAGTCATCGGACTCTGTGTATGTATGTTTGCTCGACGTGTTTCCCGATTGATCTTTGTTTTGCAGAGCGCTTGTTGGGCCCTCTGAGCGACGTTCTTCGCCGCAATATGGATTTGTATGCCAAGTGGATGGCCAAAGTCAAGAAAGAGGACGAGGGCGACGAACAGAGCCCGTCGTCACGGGACGTCGATACGACTCTCTCTGAAGTATGTGTGTATTTAGCGTCAGTGAATCGTCATTGAATTTGTATCGTGATTCACAGGCGACTCGTTCGCGTCACGATGACGAGGATCAAGAGCAGGAGGAGACCGACGAGTCGCCCGCCTCACGCACCGCATCACCCGAAGCGCAGAGCATTTACACCAGAAACAGAAGAGGTCACCACCAGATTCGCCTGGAAACAAAGTGTGATGTGTTGTTCTATGTATTGCCTCACCAGCGAATGTGATGGGTGAGAGTCTGGAGGACGACGCCGACTTCGTGCCGCCGGTGATTCCCAAGACTGCCGAGGACGAGCAAGTCATCTTCTCGGCTGTCGGCAAGAACGTGCTCTTCAGCCACCTGGCCAAGGAAGAGACGCGTGTCATTGTCGACGCCATGGAGGCCAAACACTTGGAGCAAGGGGAACTCATCATCAAACAAGGTATATACATATATACGTGTATATAGGGCTCAGACAGACAGACAGACAGGCCAATGGTGGCCTGATGCGATGCGACACACCCAATGGACTGGACGGACACATTCATTCCTTTGTCGGTCCGCGCATGGCATGGCGGCCGGCCAGGGATGGCCTGCGAGATACGCCTAGAGACAGAGAGAAAGAGATAGGCCAGCTGTGCTTGCCCCGCCTTCACATGTTTTTGGGGGCTCACTGAGCTCACCCGCGCTGCCAATGTGTTGGTGCAGGTGACGACGGCAACCACTGGTACATATTGGAGGATGGTGTGTGCGAGTGTTTCGTGCGCATCCCGGGCAAGGAGGCCGAGTACGAGAGCGAGGACGGCAAGTTGGTCTTCACCTACAACCCCGGCATGGCCTTTGGCGAGCTGGCTTTGATGTACAACGCCCCCCGTGCGGCCACCATCCAGGCCAAGACACCCGCCAAGGTCTGGGCCCTCGACCGCAAGACATTCAAGAAGGTGCTGCAGCAGACGTCGCAGGCGACGCGCGACGTGCAGATGGACTTCATCAACCGCTTTGAGATGTTCGACGAGCTGTCCAAGTTCGAGAAGCTGCGGCTCCTGGAGGCACTCGAGGCCAGGTATGTCGAGGCCGGACAGCGAATCATCCAGCAGGGCGACACCGGACACGAGTTCTTCATGATCGAATCGGTCAGCCAAGCCAGGGAGTGGGCTGGGTGCACTGCACCCCTTGACTTAGGGAGTCGGGTCGTGTGTACGTACCTACCTACCTACATGTGCATTGATTGCATGTACGCATACGAATACGCATATACGTGTGTGTCTCATGTGTATGTACGCAACGCATGTGTGTACATACATATACATCCGTGTGCCTGTGCGTGTGCAGGGCGAGTGCAAGTGTGTGGTGACCAACGAGCACGGCGAGGAGTCCGAATGTTTCAGACGACTACAGGAAAGTGGCACACATTCATTGGTCGATCAGTGAATGAATGCTTCGTATGTGTGCCTCCCTGTGTCTTTTGGTAGGGTGGGGATTTCTTTGGCGAGTTGGCGCTTCTGCGCAAGAAGCCTCGTGCCGTGTCTGTGGATGCCGTGACGGACGTCAAGGTATACGTGTTGGAAGAGGAGGCCTTCGAGAGACTCCTCGGGCCCCTCGAGGAAATACTTAGGCACGTACACATGCATACACGCGTGCAGGCATGCTTACCGATGGCGTGGCGGGACCGCCCCGGCACTGCACTGCCTGCCGTGTGCATTTGGTGTGTGTGTGTGTGTGTGTGTGCAGACGCAACATGGACAACTATGCCGTCTACATGAGGAAACTCGGCCTGCAAATCGAAGACGCGGGCGAACAACAGGTAGGCACGAGTTGTGCTGGCTGGGTCAAACACGCCAGCCCAGCAACAAGGGAACGTATTTTAAGAAACGTTTGTCGGAAGGATCCAACACGCCTTTCTATGTGTCGGCGTGGGTGCAGGCAAAGGAAGATGAGGCGCAGCAATACTCGGTGAGTGAGTGAGCAACGAAGGGTAGAGCCCGCTGAGGGGGCCCTGGCTGGTCGTGAAGCGGTCCGTGTAGCATCAAGCACTTCGTGCTTTTGCATGAACCCTGAGATATTCGGCACCTTCAGAGATTCGCCACTCCATTCTTTCCCCTCTGTGCTGGCTGCGGGGATCTGCTTTTATTGGTTGATTCGTGCAGGCTGTGTCCATGGCGGATGAAGGTGGTGAGGGCCAGGATGGCGATGCTGCTGATCTCAAGAGCGAATATGACGAGTCGGCACCGCCATCACCGACCGCAGCATCGGGGTAAACCAGACACGCACTTACAGCGCCCACAAAGGGATGCCATGATTGTTCTTGCTGCCCTTTGCATATCAGGCCGCCTCCTGCCGCAGTGCGATCGAGGAGAGGTAAGACATGGACTCATATTTGAGACTGACCCTGATCGATGGAGGCAAAACCCGCACAATAAAGACAGATGAATGCACACGGGTGCATCGTACGTCCCCAGCGCTCTGTCTGTTCATTGCTGTGCAATGTGATGACATTGCCCTCTCTGGCCTGTGGTTTATTCACCAGCGAATGTGATGGGTGAGAGTCTGGAGGACGACGCCGACTTCGTGCCGCCGGTGATTCCCAAGACTGCCGAGGACGAGCAAGTCATCTTCTCGGCTGTCGGCAAGAACGTGCTCTTCAGCCACCTGGCCAAGGAAGAGACGCGTGTCATTGTCGACGCCATGGAGGCCAAACACTTGGAGCAAGGGGAACTCATCATCAAACAAGGTATATGCATATATACGTGTATATAGGGCTCAGACAGACAGACAGACAGACAGACAGGCCAATGGTGGCCTGATGCGATGCGACACACCCA